TTTATGCATAGCTTCAAGTATTTTTTTGGAATATTGAAGAAAATTTAAAATGAATTCAAAACCGATAGGGAAGTGGGTGAAATTAATCAACTATTCTAAATAACAAAATAAAGACAAATGGGCGACAGTGGTTATCAAATTGACAAATATAAAAAAGTAGTTTATTAGATAGGAAGTGACGAAGTAAAACAGGAACAATCTTGTTATTATTAAAATCTGAAAGTATGAAAAAGCAAGCTAAAACAATACGATTAAGGAGTAGAACCAAGAATTCTGCATAGATTGCAAAAGAAATTAAAAAAAATCCACGATAATAGACATCTGTTGCCGTAGAAGGAAACGACTATTGTTAGTAGTTATAAATATTACAAACCGACTGTAAATATGAATTATTCATACCATAACTACAGCGAATTAGAACTGCATAGAATACCAATTATAAAGCAATGATATAAGCATAAAAAAAGATTAATAAAATGATAAGAAAGGATTTGACGTGAATTTCAAAAAACGAAATGATATAAAGTTTGAAAATAAAATTTCACATGCCCATACGGTTGAGAGTTCCAAAAAACATGGCTATTCCACGGGATAATCAAGAAGCAACAAGAAAGATTATTAAGATTATCAAGCCGAACAAATATAAGAAAAAAAAGCGATAATTATTCAAGACATCGTAGAAATATAAGAAACAATGTTAAAATAATGTGGAAAGCAACTGACAGAAGTTGAAAGAACAACGGAGCCAATATAAAGATAAATTTTACAAAAATCTGCACATGTAGTAAGAAAAGCATTTTTTTGGAAATACTACTTGGGTATTAGTTTGAAAATTCGATCCGCAGTATCGGAAATGCATGCACAAAGTATGCTGACATAATGATTATTATTTCTATAAATAGAATAAAAAACAGAAACATACCGGAATCGCTCCACGTTGAGTAAGCAATTTGACTACCAAGAGAATTAGTAGTTATATCAAGAATACTCCAGCCGACGTCAGGAACCGAATACTGAATTGACGGATGCAGCAATGTATATTTAGATTGCACACGATCTTTCCGTGCATAAAAACGTAACTTATCATCTGAAAATTAATCTTTCTAATAACGGAGAAAGTAAAAAAACACTATAAATTAACTGCTAAAGATTAACAATCGTATTTAGTAAAGCTCGCGTCTCTATAATCACAAAATGAAAAAACATTTTGTAATGCATCAGCAATTTTTCGTCCGATCTCGCTATCTTTCTGTAATATCTTCACTGAATCAAAAAAAAAAATTACAGGAACATACATAACCTTGACTTGCAGTAACAATCCTATTGTGCGGTAAATACAAACAGCAGAATGTTTTTGTATTTACTGTTTCGATCACAGTTCTTTGGTTTGGAAGATATCTAGAAAAATAAATTTGATCAATCATATGAATATGGAACTTAAAGTGAAAATTTATTTTGTAGAGCACAATTTTGTGGAGCATTTATTTTTCTGAATTAATGTATTACATTACATTGAAGAGTGTGTGCATTTGAGATATAAATAAACAGCTTCTGCATCTTTATTATTAATGCAATATTTCTTAACTAAAATCTATAAAAGTGAAATCATGAAAAAATTACTTATTGATTATAGAAGCTTTTTCACCAAGGCTGAAAGCACCGTTTAGGGAAGAAACTGATGCATTTTGTTCAGCAAGTATGTGGCGATTTCTCGGCCTTTCTCGTTTACCTATTTCTCGAATTCTTAGCATGTTTTGAACCGACAGTTTCGGAAAAATACCACCAGACAAAGCTGCTGTCATTTGTCTTAAATTCAAGGCACTCTGAAAAAAAATATATATGTACATATACAACCGGAATAATGTGGTAATTGAGACATTCAATATAAAATTTTGGTATTTTTAACTTTCAAAGTAGTTAAAAAGACTGAAATTTTATGGAATTAAAAAATGTCATTTAAATTAAATTAAAAACTGTGACCAAAACAACCTCGACCAAATCAGGATCATCCGAAATAAAACTTCCCGTTCCCTTTGTCCATCTCTCTTGACACACTTCTACATTATTGTCCCGGCTGTCCTGAAATTTATACTCACGATAAAATTAATGCTGATAAAATAAACAGTAACTTTGAGAAAGCTGCAAAACACTTTTTCTCCAGCTTTTCATCATTCTTCACTATAAACTTCAATGCTTGGTAGGAGTCCTAACAACATTCGACTATGTAATTGCAAAATGGACTTTCAGACAGAGCGAGAGATAAAAATAATTGTTCCTATAAAGGCTTCATATAAAGTTTCTTCAAAATAAAAAGAAAAAAGTTAAGGATGAGAAAAAATTTCTGCTTGATAATATATATCAACGAGAAATTATAAAATGCATCATAGCACAAATCGTTTTCAATTTTCCTCGTCTCTGATATCGCTATGTTTCAATTGCTAATTTAAAAATCTTAAATCGATAAAACCGGTTCAGACACACATAAGAAGCATCTGTCGCGTTATTCAATATTTTAATTTCTTAGTTACTAATGATATTATGCAATAAGTAATTATGAATCCTCTGGAGTAGCAAGTTTTAAACAGTAAAAACAGTAAGTTATAGAAAGACGAATGTTTTAGTACTAAAATCCAGATGTTAAAAATGTTTGACAAGTAAATAAATTGAAATACAAAAAATTCTCGAGTTTCAAGTTCTTAAATGATAATATTTTACTTAAAATACGTGTAAAATTGCTTACCAAATTCATTGCTGCATTATTAGCACCCATTTCTCAGTGTAAAGCAATACCAATCAGTAAACAGATACTTTTCCTCGAGTCACTCTGAAATTAAGAAATTTTCATAATGGAACAAAAATACTAATAAGGTCAGTCAAGCTTAACAAGGGTCAACTGTATCTTACTGGTAGGTATAGAATGACCAACTAAAACGTTTCGTACAGTTTGTTTCAACCGCACGATATATTTAAACGATAAGAAATAAGTAAATTTTCAATGAAAACTATATATTTATAGCTTCAAAGCTATCTTAGCATGTATTATGAGACCATAAAGTGGAATTCAATTAAAAATAAGAAAAAACGAAGGGTAAATGGCAAAGAAAACAATGGTCGAAATGAGGAAGTAGAAAAGAGTAAAAAAAAATAAAAGTGAAAACAACGATCAATTACTACTCTTCTAATCACGGAACAAATCAGGTTCTACAAGTAAGCGACAAAAAATTCGAGAAATCTTTACCTTATTCAAAGAAAAAATTGTCCCCTATACATATCTGTAACAGCTGACATAAGAAATCTTCAATCATCGCCCTAAAATTGTTAGAAATAATCAAATTTGTGAGAAAAATCTGAAAATATTATGGTTTTTCTAGTAATGGATATCACAAAACCAATGAAAATTTCGGCGAGTAAACGCAATACGGCAAAGAGCGTATTTTTAATTTTTTCATGAACCTTATCAGCTTGACACATTAGAAACTACTTGTCTACTAATTGTCCTTTAACTCAAATAGTATAATTGAAGCATTAGAAACTAATAAATATAAATACCATCAATACAGACTTATTATATAAACAGACAGACAAACAGACGACACACACACACACACCCATATGCAGGCAGCATAGACAATAATAGAGAAGTGCGCAAATGATGGGAGGTATTGAGTCAAACGTGGGCGGTAGTGATATGCGTGAGAGTGCAGTTGTATAGGAGAACGTATAATGGAGAAGAGAGTACCTATGGGAAGAGGTAGAGAAGTGTGAGGACCGAATGACATTTGGATGGAGGAATAGGGGCCGAGATTTATAGTTGGACTCGAACCGATGTGATAACCCAGTTGAAGGCTTTCTTAGGACGGGTCCTTCAAAATTGGTGCCTTTGTCTTGGTACTATGCGTGATACTCTCAGGCTTGCATATTCGGTAAAGTAAACATCAATGAGTAGCTATATGTCATGTGAAATGATTGTTAAGCGAGAACATATGATAGCAGAATGTTTTATATCAACTTCAGCTATTTCTCTACCACCTCGACAAAGAAATATGCATATGTACTTTAGCAGATATAAATCGCTTTATGCACAGCAGTCTCGAGAATCATTGCAAATAGGTCATTCGTTGTGGGTAGTCTCTTCGTATCATATTCTTCGTTGATAAAGTCCTTTTACAGATTATTGATGAATCTAATTATTGGTGTCGCAAATCGCTTATTGATTGGCAAGAAGTAAATTAGTAAAAATTTCAAGTTATCAAGTTATTAGCAAGTTGTGTTGGATCCCTCAAGTTATTGGGTTAAGGAAAGGAATTGCCACGAAAATCTCTCAATGGACTTTAATTGAGTCTTTTTATAGAAAATTTTTGTGGAAAAATTGCTAAAAATGAGAAATCATTTGAATCTAATGAACTTAATATTTACAGCTATGGCTTAAGTTTACGACAACTAAAGCATACCCTTCCCGATTTACCATACGATTATGGAGCCTTAGAGCCAATAGTGTCGGCCGAAATTATGAAAGTTCATCACGGCAAACATCACGCTGCATATGTAAATGCTCTTAATCAAGCAGAAGAGAAAGTAAAAGAAGCGCTAGCAAAAGGTTTGCGAAGAGTTTACAAAAATCTTGAAAATGGAGAATATAAACTAACTACCTGGTCAGATTGTCAGATAATCTTGAACAACATATTTCCGAATCAAATAAAAAGAAAGTGTTGTTTCGATTCATTCCCAAAAAAATTACTATTCGTAAGGCTTAAGCTTAGAAAAATAAAAAACAACACCGGTTCCTAGAAATCAAAACGACTGTAGTTGATGTGGTGAACCATTTCAAATTGGGACATTTTTGTAGTTTTAATTCATTTTTGTGATTTTAATTTAAATTGGGACATTTTTGTAGTCATAATATGAGCGTAATTTTACTTGTTTCAATGTTTTGAATAAAAAATATGCATACCGGGATTGTAATCATCTCTATTTTCTTTTTGGGAGATATGCAGGCTGTTGTTGCTGGTACAAAGCTAATGAATTTCAACGCTGGTGGTCATATTAATCATTCACTGTTTTGGGAAGGACTGACTACCGTAAAGGATAGCGGAGAACCAAGCTGTAAGTTGCTTTTTTGGAAACGGTTTCCACACTTATTTGGTTTGAGTGTTAAGTTTTATTTTGTGATTTTCTAAATTCAGACTTAGGAAAGCCTTTATCAATGAGTAAGGAGCTGTATTTTAAACTCGGAAACTCTTCTATAAATTCAGCTATTTAATGCAAATTTATGATAGTTTATATCAATAGATTTTTCACAATTTTTGTTTTGTTATTGTGCAGCAGTTCTCCTTATAGCTGAATTGATGACTGCTATAAAGAATGATTTCGGATGTTTGGAAACGATGAAGGATAAGTTAAGTGCTAAAACAATTGCGATCCAAGGTTCTGGATGGGGATGGCTTGCTTATGACAAGGAAATGAAGCGTTTGCAACTTGCTTGTTGTCCCAACCAAGATCTTCTTCAACCGACAACGGGTAAGTAGCATAACAAAAGTAGGATAGGAATTTTATGGAAGTTCTAACTGTGTCTATTCAGTTCTGTTATTAAAGTGATGTCAGTATTTACATCATTGACTGTAATAAGGTAGATTTCGCTTAATAAATTTCACGTATGAGATGTAAATGCACATGATATGGTGTTCAAATAGTAACTGTTAAGAATGTTTGATTGTTAAGAAAAGAATAAAGTGTTTCAGGCAGGGAAAGCCATATATTTCATTTTGCTATTTAGGTCTCATCCCACTATTTTGCATCGACGTTTGGGAACATGCTTACTACCTACAGTATAAAAATGTACGACCAGATTTTGTGAAAGCTATTTGGAAAATTGCGAACTGGAAAATAATCAGCGATCGCTACGTTAAAGCTAAAGGATAATCTTTCATGGAAGTTCCTGAGTGAAATTAGTATTTTATATTAGTAAAAGTATTAATCAAAGTGATGTCAGTATTTATATCATGTGACTGTAATAAGGTAGATCTCGCTTAAAAAATTTTACATATGAAATGTAGAACCACATGATATGATGTTCAAATAGCGATTATTAAGAATGTTTGATTGTTGACTTCCTAGTAGAAAAAACGTGATTAAATGAAGTCTTATAAGGTGTACTTGGTAATTCACCATCTTGCTTTCAGGCAGATATAAGAATTTGAGTAATATCCTTTTACTAATATAAAATTCTACTGAATCCGGTACTAATCCTTTCTCGAATAAAAGCATCTTTAGTAAATAATATCGCTAGAAACGAATCAAAACATCGTGACCAGATAGTCTTAAAACGGTTTGTTTAAAAATGCCAGTGTTATTAGAACCTGTTTATTTTCCGGCCCTTTATATTGCATAACATTCATGCAAGATTGATAACTCTATAGGACTTGAGCTAATTTTGCTCTTCATTTCTGTAAATCTTGTTATTAATCTCAATAAATTTTTCTCGATTCACTTTTTGCTTCTCGATATTGAGGGTTTTTCAAACCACAATCCCCGAGATGACCATGAATTACAACTTTAATATTTTTTGTCCCTTATGACTTAAAACGACTTGTGAAAAAATTTAATACTATAAGCTTTCAGCAAATTGAAAATCTAGAAACATGTCCATAAATGATGTAAACAAAGTTACAGTGCAATATAACCAATAGGTTGATTAACACAATGATTAATTAAATAGATGATTGAATGATTAAACAGATGAATTACAGACTTCCTAAATGATTAAGCAGATCCGTTATGAGGACAGATCCATTAAGGAAAATTTTTATTTTCCTTGATCTAACACCTTTCGAAATCAGCATTATTACCTGGAGTTAAAGAACAGATGCAATTCTCATATGAAAATATGCTACTTGATATGTTTTGAATGTTATGGAAGTGTACGCATCACCTTATGACACTTTTAATATTACACGAAAATATAAACTAACTTTTCTTTTCCTGTTTCCCCCAAACAGGGAAAAATAGTTTATAAATGGTAAAAAACGTACTAGTGACTACTAGCTCCGCTGAATATTACTGAATTAAGCTTGTGATGATTTAACTTCAGAAGTCAAAGGCGTGCAATGATCAATGAATTCTTTTGCCGCAGGAATTTTGTCACTAATATTTTGATCGAAAATTTCGGGATTTGAAACGATTGGCAAAAAAACGCCAATAAAATCTTCTGAATAAGGTGGAGCGACAATTTCGAGAACTTCAATCGCGAAATATCTAAATTTTAATAATAGTGAGATTTAAGGCAAATTTTAAGTGAATTCAATTAAAAACAGCTATCTTCCAAACCTTTTTTCTAGCAAAAATGAAGTGATTCGAAGACTGGCATCAACTTTTCTTCAGACTTTCATGTGTGATTTATGGATGGAGTATCATAATATGATATTCCTAATATAATTATTGAGAGAAAAAAATTGAAACTAGACCAAAGATCTTTGGAAAATAGTATGAAGATTACCTAACAAGAGAAATGTCGATTTGACCATCACGAAACATTTTGTTAATTTTTTCAACAACTGGTAAGGCCAAGCCAACGGATAATAAATGAACAAAACGATCGACTATACTACGTTGTTTCTCCATAATAACTTCAGCAGCTTCATTCATGGTGGATTGTCTATCATACAGCTCACAGAGAACTCGAAAAACTCTGAAAACTTATCAATCTATAAGAGCGATTGAAAATTAATTTTCAAACTTATCAATTATAAAGATATAGAAGTAATATTATTGCTTGTAACGCTTGTAAACGCTTGTGAATGTAGTACGCATGAAAAAGTTTAAATATTATAAAAGCATGCAAGATTTATGATTGATGACTGGTATCATTTCACGAGAATATATCAAAATGAGGTCTCTATTTAAGATGATTACAATGCTTACAAAAACAGTCAATTTAGTCAGTCAACACTTTGAGCAATTCTAGAAGCATCATTGGAAATGAGATGACTAACTCTGAAAAAAAAGTATTAAAAAAATACCTTAATTGTAAATTAGGATGCGTTGTAGCAATCTGGTCAAGCAATACAAAATGAACGGATTCCGGCTCACTGATAAATTCATCATTTAAAAGATTTCCACGCAAATAATACAACAATCCTGCGGCAATAACAGGAAGACGTATTGCATATAACAATGATTTCATTTCCTTCATGAGATCATCTGTTGTTTCCAGCAAACTAACTGTTCGTTCAATTGTATCTCGAGTCATGTTCAATTCCTGTCGATTCTGTATTCGGCCGGTACTCGTCTTTTGTTCACCAACACATGACACATATGCCAGCAAATAGACATACTTCGGGCGATGATCAACATGAACTTTTATTCCTTCGTATGCGAAAAGTGAATCAGTTAACATATCAACAAAGAAGTGCTCTCGAATTAACTCAACTGGCGGCGGGTTTGACGAAACATACTGCTAAAAGGAAAAAAACATAGCCATTTAGTTGCAAGTGTAATGGAAAAAAAGAATGAGGACTAAAACTAATTATGAATCAACGAGCGCTGTGCACAATATTGCTATAAAAGTATTCCACAATAACATGAAAAAAGTGTAGAAGAATGCTCAAAAGTGAATGACCTGATAAAGTAATGTAATATCCGCAGGATTTAAGCACTGCTTGCTCATCATTGTATGTATTGCTTGTAATGAGTTTAATGTAATTTGTTCCTCATACGACTGCTTTAAAGCAATGTGTAATGCCGATGTGTCTTGATCACGATCATGTGCTTCTATGCGCAGAACTTGCGAGAGATGTGCACAGGCAGCAGAAGCCATTCCAGTTTCCTAGTAAGTTACACAGAGAAAATTACAAGTATCAGAAATCTACAATGTTACTAGAACCATCCAGTCATTCAAGATAAATTATTTTCTGACACTGATGCACTACAAGCTTGATTTGGTCTTCATGAGCTACCTGAAAGATTCACACTCGAACTATCAATTTAATACATTCTGGGTAAGTTTGCCTCACAAGATCTTAGCCATTCAGCAGAATTATAAGCTTGATTTGGTTTTCATGAGCTATGTTTTCCCAAATAACATAAACAGCTATGTAAATTTGTCAAACATGCGGCATATTGTTAAAAATTATTGATTAAACTAGACGTACCTCTTCACATATAACATGTAATAGTGCTTGTGCGTATAGATATGTATGTTCACTGTGGCATACGACTCGAACAAGTTCCGCAAGAGCATTTTCGTAAGCTTCTGTCATTGGACCTCGCCTATGTTCATGAAATACAGCATCAATAGTGAACAGAACTACTCGCGAAAAAATTTCAAGCTGAAATAAAAAGTCAATGTATTATTATATTAGTCAACCTTATGTAAAAAATATTTTTTTCAGCAAATATATTTCAAATTATTAGTGTAAAACTTTATGCACACTTTTTTTTGAACTATAACATTAACAGCATAGTCTTCGTAAATTTCCAAATCTTCCATAAAGATCATCGAATTGAAAAACTTTACCTGTTGAGCCGCAGTGTTTACGTTACTAATTTCATGTTGAAAACCAGCATCTGATATTAATTTCACAGCGAAGTTTAACATCAAACAATGAGGATATTGTTCAGCAAGTGAATAAATTAGTCGCCGCCACGGTCTGTAAAAAATTGAATGTAACTAAAAATTTTAAGTTGGTTTTCTGCCGAAAATTCACCAACATTTCATAGTCATGTTTGCATTAAAGCTATTACTAAGAAAGTTAAATTTTAACGAACTAGATATGAAAAGCGTAACTAACTTATGTAAGATCAATTCAGGTAGCCATTCAATGCCAACACCTTCTGCTTCGAATATTTTGTCCGCTAATTCAGGTTGGAAATACTTCGCAATCAAATTACTCAAGGCTGATTCAAAACATTCGTCTACCTTCGTTCGACTACCTTCCAAATCTGCCAACCACTCACCGATCAGGTTACAAAGCTTTAGAAAAAACATTCAATAACAATTCTTTGTAATGTAATCTTTAAATGTACAACATCTTATGCGATTTATAAAAATTACTGTTGACTTCTCTTAATGTTCAATTGTATTCTTTAATTATATTAAAGCATAATTTACTTAATAACTTCTTTATATGTTATGCTGCTTACTGAGATTTTTTTTTAATCATATAGATGGACATTTTACCTGGCCCATCGAGCAGTAGTTTTCAGAAAGTAAATTAACAACTGTTTCCGGATCTCCACCACATCGAAAAAATGTTTGCAATACACCAACTATTTGCGGCTCCATAACGAAATCGGGAACTGAAATTTGATGAAATTTGATCCTTATTTAATTTACAATATTTTATATTAGCAATTTAAATTCATGCCAATCTTTAATTAACAATTAATAAATTAAAAATAATTAACATTAATAATGTTAATGGAGGAGTGAAAAAATGACATAACATAAAATGACATATAAAAATGCCAACTTTTGATCTCGCATAAGTAGGTTAAAAATTTCAATTGATCGAATGACAAACATAACACCTCACTTAAAACTGATTTTCATTTATTATGGCAGATAAGATATTCCTGTCAAACAGTTTGCAAAACCTACGATTGAGATGCCGTATGCAGTGATCTAACAGTATTTTTTCTTCTTCACTTGCTTCATTATTATCTTCCCCACAATCATTTGGATCTTCCATTCACGTAATAAACTGAAGTTTTTAAAAACACAATCTGCAACATTCATCTCAGAACAAAACAAAACCTTAACATACACATTCCATCAAGGAAGACATCACACCTCACCCAGTAACTTAGTGTGAGTTTCTTAGTTATTCAATTTATTTAGATCCAATCTATTCAGTCTACTTCAATCTCAAATTGAAACATTTTACACTGCACCCTTAGTCTTCAAAACAGAAAACAGAATTCCCGATAACGTCGGCCTCCTTCAGACAACTATTTTCACCTAGTGTTCACAAAATCTAAAAATTAATAACCCTTCAGAAAATCAAAATTTGAGGAATACTGAATTTTGAAGGTGTTAAAGCCTGTTATTAGCAAAAAAAACACATCATCAAAAATTTAATTAAATATATGTGCACGACAAATCAGTTAACTCACAGAAGAATGTACTATAACAAATTTCAAAAAATTCATTTCAGCACGTCGACAGCGTATCTGGATAAATTAACAGTGCAGTTGTTGGATAATTTTTGCTTTCAGGAACTACTATGAACAAAGAAAAAACTTGACTCGAATTTGATGGCATCTCAGGAAAAAATGCGATCACTTACTCGTCTGTAAGAATCAGGGAACGGTTGATTTTAAAAGAATTTAAAAAACAATACTATGAAGAGTGAACAATCCTTAAAATACTTTAAAGAGAGAGGAGCAGAAGTTTGTGTGGAAGCAAATTGAAAAATACAAGTTGGAGAATTTGGTGAGACTAATTCAAAAACTGTTTTCATGAACCTTTCTAAGTCACAACAAAGGACAAAAAAATCTCAATTTTTAAAACACTGAATGTTGAAATGGGTCTATTACTTCACCTTATGCAAACAACTATACTATTAGTGTTTATTTATGCCAGAACTCGGCTCTGATTCGATTTTCTGCCTGGCCACGATTCTTTGGCATATTTCTTCTTGTGAGGTGCATCACCATCTTCATTGTCATGTATTCGATGTGTTCCCTGAACGAAAGGCCCAACATGTCCAGAGGTGGGCTCCGGTAAACTTTTCGCATATAACTCCAAATCCGGGGCAGCATTCATAACAATCGACAAACTTGAAATCATTGGTTGTATATACCTGAACAGCAATAGATTCAAGTAAAAAATATCTATTAGAAATATTAGGTTTAAAAATGGAAATCTGAAAACATTTTTCTCTCAAAATTCCAATTACGCTATAGAAAAAATAAATATGATTCCAAAGATAATAATTAAAAGATGTGTGCCTTGTATTTTTGTAATCATCCACGCGTCCAGGTCTCAAAATCTTCTTCTGGGTAGGACCTTCCTTAGTTCTTTGTTCAGTTCCCTCTTCCGAAGGTTTTCGTTTTGTTGATATAATTGCAGTAGCAACCAAATTTCGAAAACGTCCTACTGTTGGATCAACATCTTCTTAAACAAAAAAGCCATATTTAAATTGAATTAAGATTAGCAACTAATTGCTCCAAATTATGAAATCGAAAAATAACTTCTGAGTAACCAACATCAAATGATTAAATGATGCGGATTTGGAACTATTTTATAAAATAATTTCACGAACCTACCTGGATTAATTATGGTTTCTTCTTCAATAAATGCAACATTCCCACGTGGTCTTTTTTTCCGCCGCGCATCTTCCAGTGAAATTGGTATGACTGGTATTCGTCTATTTAGCGCTGTGTTATACTCAGTTAGGTTCTAGAAATTGTTAAAATAACAGACTTCTCTTTAGGTTGATTTGGTTATTAGTGGCGAATGTAAAATTCAACAAATGGAATATGGAATAATGATCAAAATAATACCTGCTGTGACTGCAAATAAGGGAGTAGGCTAATACAATTAAACTTCTTTAAAAGGTCAAGATAGACACTAGTGCACAACCTACCAGAAAAAGATCCAAAAGCCAAAAATTACTGAAGGAATTTTCCTTTTTCACAATGTGAAACCAATTAAGGCACCTGAGATACAAACAGAATGGAACTCTGATTTTGTCACAGAGGTAACTGAAGCTGCACATCCTTAATCATAGTAAAACTATTTTGAAAAAATATCTGGAAGAAAAGCTGCAAAACTAAGTAGCCAACCTCGAGCTCATGTTCCTCTGGCAGTAAATCTTTATTTCCTTCATCGTCATCATTGCCCGATTCAAGTTTTGCCCGCAATATATATCTCCTCGTGGACGCACCAAAATGAAATATGCTGGCAATATCTATGAAAATTGGTTGCTTTGGCCCAATGCGAACTTTACCAACAAAGGTGCCATGACCTGAAATAAAATACTTCAAATTAATAGTTTACTATTAATTTTCCCATATGTGCAGATGCGATTTATCTAGCCGTCCTACCTACCTCATTTAAAAAAAGGATTTAAAAATGCGATCTATAACGTAATACAAATGACGTTTCAGGCTTTTGTTTTTTCCCACATTTTATGTTTAAAAACATAATCTGTAAGAGCGGACAATGCTGATTAGGACTGAACTGAAAAAACAAAATCACAATTAATGTATTCCCATACCTTTTGGGCTGAATTTATATATTGATGTTATTACAGATACTGATGAAAACAGCGAAAAACCTACAGCTATTCATGTCCACAAGCGCAAATCGTTGCAGAAATTTATGATAAATCAAAACAGCGTGCACCCTGGAGCATGATGCATGTTCTACCACAAAATCACATTGCTTCGGATTACGACCAAAAAAATAGGCACGCTTTTCATCAATCATTAATTTCTGAAATAATACGCGCAATACTTTCTATTAATATCATGATTCGGTATAGAAAAAGTGAAACTCATGGATTTAAATATGACAGTAATAAGAGTCTAAATTTATCTCCGCATCGTTCAAAAATTTTTAGTTGGTAATTATTATAAAAATTTATTTGGAATATCTACACATATTGCAGTGCTGATAATAAGGCACCACTTGTGATAAATAAATGACATACCTGAATCAACTGATCACCTTTCAAAACATCAAGATGACATCCACTTGGTGGTCTTCCTGCCCAAGGAGGTATTTCATATTCAATTACTGCATTTTCTCCCGAAGCAACAACAGCGGGTAGAACTGTAGTCGTCGGTACAGGAACTACAGTACTTACAGGAGCAACTGTCCCTGCAGTTCTTTTTCCATCCTTTACTACGTTCGAGGACATTGATGCTACCAAATTTCTACAAATCATAATTCTGTAATAAGAAAACCACATGCTGCAGCAAAACTACATACAGGTATGGAGTGGAAATCGAAGGAAACTAATTCCGGCAGTCAATCATTTGCAACAGTGAAACAACGAAATCTTTACAGCCAAAACTTTATGACATGTCTACTTATCTGTACTGTGAAACAATATTTTCTTATTTGCACATTAAAAATTAAAATCGTCACTGCAAAATAGTAGGTGCTGCAGATTTCACTTCTCCTGGAGAATGTTATTTATTCAGATTCGAGCAAAGCTACTTCAAACAAATCCATCCCGAATTAGTGAATCTGTGATGAAAAAATGGCAAATTTGTATAATATTTAGGCAAAGTTACATAACCAAAAATGGCGAATTTGTATAATATTTTAAAGCAAAGTTACAAAACCAGTTTTTCAAATTATTACCGCATTTGATCGGAAAATAATTTATGCACAGTTTACGATACTACATACAATACGAGGTATACAAAAATTCGTATCTTAATAATTGTAAAAACATGATTACTGATTGCCACACATCTGAATGTTACTGTAAAAATGGCATCAAACATCATTGCACAATGATCAAAAAGAGTGAACAAAGCGCCAAGTTATATAAATATAGCCCGATGATGAATGGGTAAACAATCATTCTGATCAGTAAAATACAGACTAATTAACTATTAAATTATTACATAAGTTACATAAGTTCGGTCAGGGATTAAAAATCACTCGGTAAGACAATAGAGAAATTTCTCCTTAAATACCAGCAAGTTGGCGTCAAGATAAAGCTGAATAGTTTGAGATTTGTCGCAAATTAAAAATTTTATCGTCGAGAGCAACAAATTCTCCTTCTATTACAGATGAGATTTGCTTTTCGATTCCAAACTACAATTTATATAAGCCGCTGAAAAGCAAAAAATATGCAAAAAAAGAAAATAGTAACTCTATGAAAATGAGGACTGGATATGTAAAAAGCTTCAGAATGGATAAGCAATTCAAATGTAAGGAAAAGTAGGAAATACGCTTCACAATATTTCCTAATTTGCCAACTTCTCCTTCGTCATTTATAGACACAGCTGTCATTCCAGTTCTCATCACTTAAGCATGACAGACTTCAAGTTATACGTTAATAACAGAAGCGATTTATGACAACTTGTACAAGCAAAATTATCTAAAAGAGGTGAGCGAATAATTTTTAAACTTACTTAGATTCTTTTCATTTCTATCTGTTTCGAATATGGAATTGAGAATTAAACGAGGCACATGCATAGTCTGATCATCCAATAAAACGATATCATATCCATCCAAATATTTGGCTAACAATGTTTCGTCATTATAATTCAGAAAACCTATTTTTAATGCAACTTGTTCACATTCCAGACCTACGTCCATTTTCAAATCTAAAATTCAAATGAGATCAAAAAAATTTTAAAAACACAGTATGAACATATTCCTGAACTGAAGTTTGAAGCTTACATAAACTTTTATCAATTTAAAATAACGATACTGACTAACAGTACCTCCTAGAGAGTCGCCCATTAATAAAACACATGTTCGCGATGAAATTTCATGGAACAACGACCCATGACCATTAATAATAGCACTGTTCTTACAAAATGTGTGAATAAGAGGTTCGCTAAATGCAACTGCTACATCGTTTTCATCATATATCTAAATCCTTAACATAATTCTAAAAACCTGCTTTAAACAGCCCATCATGTTAAAGAAAGGGCAACCTTAATTGTTGCCTTTTCTTTAACATGATGGGCTGTTTAAACACATGATATAAAGCATCCCAAAAGCTTTAAAAAAATCAAGAATGTATTGTCATCCTCAAAATCCAGGATATCTCAATTATTGGTATTCAAAAAATTAACTACGCTAGACAATTGATAAATGTAAGTCTTTTTATAGTCTTTTTATCTTTCTATCCTGGATAAAAAGTAAGTCATTTTATCTTGGACTATTCATAAAGTTTCATATTGGTACTGGAGTTAGTGCCGAGTGAGAATCCGTAATAAATATATGAAGAACTATTGTATGGAACCACTGATATATAATAATTATTTTTGTAAAAAGAAATATGTGAGAAAATTTTCATGAAAGAGCGAGTCCGCATTCTCACTTTTATCACGAACTGATTCTACTTTTGAAATGTGGAACATATAATTACCATCATGTTTGAGACAATATGCACATTACTTGGATACTCGCCAAGTTTTTTTTGCAAAAAAAAGTCAATTACATTTCCTATGCCAGCAGAAAAAATAATTAAAGGTACGTTATGGTTATGCAGCGATAGCACAAACTCCTCAGCTCCTTCCCTGAAAAAAAATATATGGACAGAAAGCTGGTGATTCTAAGTAAAAGACAAAGCATTTCACAATAAGTTAAATAGTTTCAAAGATATAAAGAAATATCGTATGTTACTTGCCAACACTGACTTTAATTCGAGCTTTGCTTCGGAAACAAATTTTTGAATCGTTTGCTTCGTAAAACCAGTTTTGATGATATGTTCGTGGGAAGTTCTCCACCTGAAATAAATATGTATTATTATTTAGTTGGAAAAATGATATAAATCATCCGGATAAGACCATGATATAAATAAATAGCAAATAAAATCATACCAGTTTTCCATATGAGGAATTTTTTCAGCAATTGTTATATGTGGGTCAAACTCAATCGGAAAGTACTTTGCCTTCAGTCTCTCGAGAACAGTACCAAGCTCCTGGGACACCTTCCATGCAGCACTATCAAAAACACCGTGTGTTGTCAAACAACTTTTACCTTCAGCGTCGTGGAAACGCGATAGCGTGTAATCAAAATCTGAGACAACCTAAATGTCACATTACGCTTGCATTAGTCCATTTACGAACATTAAATAAAGCATTATGAAAACAACAAAATAGTTTCAAGAAAAAAATATTTATGAGTAAAATGTCGCATATACTAATCAAATTAATTAAATAATTCACTACAAAAGCAATTGATCAATAACTGACAACGTAAAAATTAAGATTCGTACAGCATCTTTCGAAATGGCATAAAACCGACCAAATTCTTAAAAAATATTGTACCTAATGGACAAGAAATAGATAAATAATAAATCGGATTAATTAGGTCAAAGTTGTTGAAATAAATTCTAAGGTATTAAAAAAAGAACTCATCAGCGTAAAACAACCTGCAAACTATGTTCCTTAGAGCAGAAAAACGACTACTGTTAAGACATACCAAATAACAGCCTCACCAAAAGTTTATTCTTGCTAGCATTGATAATCTGATTAAGTTTCTGTTCTACGGCAGAAGAATCGCGCATGCGCACTTTGTTATTGGCAAGCAACACATCGATCAACATATACAAACCGATGCTAAAACGCAAAAGACTTACAAAGTCGAAATTTATTACTGATGAAGCAAACGTCAAGGAAGTTCATTAAGATTAATTTTTCGATCCACTCTCCAGTAAATGAGAATATATCTATTTTGCATAAGTAGAATAAACAACTATTCATTGAATAACTATTTCTGCTCAAACTCTATTATAACAAAATATGGTGAATATTCTATTATATCATTAATACACTAAAAGTGTGAAGAGTTTTTGATGATTATAATGAACATCAGAAAACGAAATTTGATTCAAAAAATTAGTAAGATGCTACAGAAGATGCTCCTGACAGAGAAAAGTACTACTATCAAGGTGGTCCAGAAATTATAACTGTATGATTCAACCCAAATTTTAAAATGATTGGATGGTTATGGTAAAGACAAAGTACGAAAAAGAAAACGTAAAAGGAAGAACAAAAAGAGTAGAAAGAGAGGACAAAATGACAGTTACTAAAGAAAATGACAAGTAGACAAGCACATTGTGGTATTCGGCACACGGTGGAAATATATTCTTTTTATGAGATTGCTAAGGCTGTAAGAATAATGTGCATATAAGGAATGCTTCGGGAAAAAGCACTGAGGTGAAAAAACTTTGTGGCATGCACGAAGTTTAAACAAATAAATTTGTTAACATGCATCGAATTTTAAGCAAAAAAATTTGATGCCATGCATCGAAGTTTAAGCAAAAAAATTTGATGACATGCATCGAAGTTTAAGCAAAAAAATTTGATGATATGCATCGAAGTTTAAACAATACATTTTTTGTAATAGTTATACTGAAGGTATTATCTCTGGAACAATTCTCAATGACTGGACAGAGTGACATCAACAGCTATTTGAGACACTAACATTGAGCCACCAATCCATCCAGCTCAGCCAATTCCTGCACTGTTAGGCCTCACCTTAAGCATCTTCTTGTTCATGATCCCAGCCATATTCGGAGGCCTAGGCTATCGTCATTCATCCATTTCCATGGCCCTTCAAAATATTGGAGTGGGTTCGTTGTTATTGATTTTTCGCTAGCCGAGCACGAACCTGAAGATCAGCCTGTGATCGATCGGGTATGGAGTGTGTGTGGATGGTGCTGAGATTTCTTGGTGGAAGGAAGAGGCCTTCTTCGTGAACACCTTTCACTTCTTATTATTCTCTCCTTATAAATGATTATTTGTTTATTTATGTTGACATAACAGTGATTACACAGGTCAGGTTATGGAATGATTATCGTACGCTGTCCCTATAATTAAATTGTTATTAAAAGTGATTCAGATATTGGAAGCGACTCAGATAGTACTCACATAAATTATGACGAATTATCACATGTCAGGAGCGGAATATCTCGCATCTATCTATGGGACTGAAAAGGATAAAGTTAATAATTTAAAATTTTGTTATGTTACTTCAAACCTGTCCATAGAGCTGGCTATGAATAATGCCATTTTTGACCTAGCAGTATTAAAGATATTGTTTCCATTAAACAGTTTCTTCATATTTCAAGCCAGAACCGAAAAGTAGAAGATATGCCTTATAGAAAAACCTTAGAAATTTGTTTTTACAAGAAGAATATGGTACGAGGATTACATGATTCAGAAAAGTAAGAACAAATATAGTGAGAAAACAAAAGATCGTAATTTAAAACGCTGGAGTCACTTTAGGTGAATTGCTCCTTCTACTTCAAAATAGGTGCATGTCGACATGGTGACAAATGCTCTAGGACACATATCATGCCTTCTTTTTCACAAACAGTTTTGCTGAAAAATCTTTATCACAACCCAATGATTGACACCAGACAAGCGGATGCCTTTGCCAAGGTTTGTATATTTTATGGCTCTTTCTAAGCTTTTTAGTTTGCTTAGTAGATCTTGATTAGCTTTCATTCTTCCATGTTCGAGAAGCTGCACCTTTTGTGATGACAGTGGTGGAGTGTTGATGGAATTTTTAATGTTGGAAATTTAACTGTAGTCTTTTGGACCGGCCGTAGTTCTCACTTTGGCCTTATTTTCAGAGCCAAAAATTTAATTGAACGTGTCGTGATACAAATCAGTTCATTCGTCTCTCGGCACATTAGTTATATTGGTAAGACGCCGTATCTGAACTCTCATTTCAGCCTAGGAGAGTGATCTCGTGGAAATTATTTGAGAAATCATAAGATGACAGGACTGTAGGAAAGTAATTCATTCTAGATATCCAAATTTCAAAATCATCGGAGGTCAAAAGGAGTGCTGAAATGGCTTTATAAGGCGTCCTCGTAGACTGATAGGTGAAAAAATAAGAAGCGACTTTCTTTTAATAAAATTTCCCGATAAACATGTGGTTTGTATGTTACGACTATGTAACATGAATTTCATACTGTTAATTTTGGTTTCGTGAGCAATATATTGCTCATGATTTATTGATCCTTTAGTTATGTTTATGTTTCAAGTTTTTTGATTTGTTCACTGTTAATACTTGCTAAATTGAAATATTTATGCAATAATTGTTTAGGATTTAGAGCTTGTTTAGGTTGGGCAAATGAACGAGCAAGAGCAGCAGTACTTTGAAGAATTTTTTGAAGAAATATTTGTTGAACTGGAAGATAAGTTTGGTCCAATTGATGAGATGAATGTATGCGATAATATTGGAGAGCACATGATTGGAAATGTTTACGTAAAATTTGAAAATGAAGAAGATGCAGACAAATGTGTCAAAGGACTTGAGAACAGATGGTAATGCGTTTTATTGTTTTATGGTTTCAGCTGTTTTAACATCCCTGAAGCATCCAAGGATATCGGCCGTAAGTGGAGGCAAAAAACCAATTAGCGTAGCAAAAAAATAACGAGTAAATGGGTCTTGAAGGATCATTGTTCGTGTTTGCCATTTTTAATCCCTGATAAAAGAATATAAGAAATTCAAGAAATTTGTTCCAAAATTTTAAATATTATAGATTCAGCGGATTTATATTGTTTCTAATTTTGATAGTTTTGTGATTTTAGGTTTAATGGTTCACCTGTTTATGCTGAACTCTCACCCGTAACAGATTTTCGTGAGGCTTGTTGTCGGCAATATGAATTGGGAGGTTGTAACAAAGGTGCTTTTTGCAATTTCATGCATTTGAAGCAAATATCACGTGATTTGAGACGAAAGTTATATGGTTCTCGGGCAGAATACCGTGGCGGTGGTTATTATGGCGGTGGGAATTGGCATGAAGGTTTGCTTCCCGTGTGTTTTATTGTAATGCTTTAAATGAATGGATTTCAGTGCTAGTTTTCTATGTAATTATGTCAGTAAGTGCAATTTTAAAAAATTGGGAAGTAAATGCCAGTACACATAACGAAATACCATATGTTATTCATTTAATGTCATAATAAAACTGTTTGCGCAGGGAGCGTTTATGATCAAAATTCTGCCAAAAAATATGTTTCATTTAATGTGGAGAGTTTCATATAATATCATATTGTGAACAGCTTTTAAACGGTTTCCTTTTTGTCTTTTAGATTATTTGTTAGTCTTTAGTTTCTTTAATTTATTATCTGATAATTCTTTATGAAGTGATTTCGTCAGTTATGATCATATATTTTAGGTAGAGGAGGTGATTACGGTAGTTATTCGCGCCGTAGTGGTGGATACGGTGGTGGTAGTGGCAGACGGCGTTCGCGGAGTCCTCGATCAAGACATCGATACTGACTGGCTAACAATAACAAGTTTTTTATTTGGTGACTTTATTGTCGAAAAACAAAATTTTTTTTTGGTGACTTTATTGTCGAAAATAGTTTTTTTTTTGTAATTGTGTGGCCATCTCATAAAAATTTTTTTTATAATTGTGGTCTCATAATATGTGTGTCACCAATTGTTTGTCCTCGTCTTTTTTTATTACATTATTATTCTTTATGTCAGTAATTTGCAAAATTATTGAATGATTTAAATAAAATTTATGAGTTTTTACAATGTTTTGGAAACAAATATGATATATAGTGCTCTACCTTTCAGTTTATCTCAGTGTTATACTCAAGCCGTCAAAGTTTACCACTTGATATCCATGTACAAAATATCAGGACAAATTATGCCTGTTTGAGCAAATGAATAAAATGTGAAAGGGCGGTTGTATTCTAAGTTGAGTGTTCAAAGAAACCTAAAGGGCTGAAGCATAACTTTAATAGCAGGAGAGGGTAGGGGATGCACTTCGAGTAGGTTGGTGGGCGAAAAAGATTGGAAATTAAAAAGTCATGTTTTAATGGTGTCGTATAGTTTTTTACGAAATGTGCTTTTCAGGTAGTACTTAAGAAGGGTATGTTTAAAAAAAGAAAAACTTTGATCCAGTTGACAATTCAATTATTAACTTGTTATTGAAGTTGGTGTATTTCTCTGCTGTTTTCAATTTGAAGGCTTTAAGTTTCTTCAGGTAGAGATTTCAGTTTTTCATCAATTTTAGAATCTGGGAAGTGCTTGTTAGGAGTACTGTATTTTTTATTTTTCCAAAAAAATCCAGTGGATTTTAGATAGTTTCAGGGCGTCAAGCAATATTTTTTGGAATGGATATTCTAAGAAATCATTCGAAGGTGCGCATCGGCAACTATGACTCGTTCGAACAAAAAATCAAACATTTTATGGACGGTGGGCCAGATAACTTCATGGTTCGTTTTTATCTATATTGTTTTCGGAATTACAGGTTCTTTAAAAATTTTTCTGAATTATGAGATTACTTATACTGTCAGTCTATAAATTTTTGATTTTAGTTAAATAATTATGCTTTGTATTTGTAAGTTTAATAACCAATCAAGTTATATGCTTTGCTATTTAATAAATAACTTGTTAGAAAAATAGATTAAGTCTTAAATCTGTCAGAGGATCTAAACAATTATAATTATTTGCTAACTCATATTTAGCATATCAACTATGCAGTATTAAAGTAACGAAAATCTTTTCCTTGGATATTTTTTCCTTGTGACATCAGCAATAGACTTATTGAGTTCAAGCTTGGCTCACTGTGTAGGATAGGAGTTAAAGAAGTATGAGTATGATCAAGTGATTGTTGCAGATAGTTGCAGATTTCGATTATACTCTCACAACAAGCACAACTAGAACTGGTGATCGAGCTGATATCACTTATGATGTGTTTGCTAAACCAGCATCAAATAAATCACCAAGTTACAGTCACCTGTTCAAGGCTTTAAATGACAAATACTCTCCCATAGAAACTAATTTGTTTCTGAGTGATAAAGAGAAGTCACTAGCTATGCTGGAGTGGTTTGTTTCTGTTATCAACCTCCGTTGATTTTTATTCTTATTTTTATCCCCTCTGTTTTTAATTAAATGAATCCTGAATCCATTATTATTTTTCTTTATTTTTTTTATGATTATATAAAATTATAATGGTTAAGCAAAATCGCTGGATGGTGTAGTATTTAATAATTGTCATCGCAAATTCAGAAGCGGAATTATTGAGTAACTATAGTTGCTTATTTCTCACCGCATATATGCCATTTTTTCCAGGTGGAATAAAGCTAACGATCTTATCATTAGTGCAGGATTCAGACAGAACGAACTACTGGATTTTGTAAAACAATCTACTATGCGGCTTAGGTGGATCGTAATTCACGAAACAGTTATAATGTTCACTTAGACAGCTCTAATCGTTCTATTATTTATGTTTTTTTAGATCTAATGGTGCTTTATATTTGGACGAGTTAGAACGGTTGAAGATTCCTGTAATAATCTTCTCCGCGGGTATCTCTAATGTTATTGAGGCATCACTGCTATTTGAATTAGGAAGAATTCCGCGAAATGTTCACATTGTATCAAATACAATGTACTTCAATGAAGTGGTTAATTAGCTTAATATTTATCATCTCTATTAATTCGAGGAAATATTTGAGCTTGATTAACTTAACTGTCAGAAAGAGCGAAGTGATAAGTATTAAAATAGTTATTCACTTAAAAGAAGTGTTAGCAAAATGCTTAATGAATGCCAAATAAATTAATCGTTATCTTTTCAAAATTAGCAAACATTTATTTGTAGGGTGTTGGTTATAAATTCTCGGAACCAGTTATACATTCATTCGCAAAAAATGGAAGTCTGCTAGAGAAGTGCTTGGAGAGTTTGCAAGATTTAAAGCTGAAGAATCAAATTATCCTTTTAGGCGACTCTTTAGGAGGTAAACATTTAAGATTAAACTTAGTCTGTTTTGCTAGATTTCTGATTTAATTTAATAACAAGCAAGCATGATGTGAATATACATATGTACATATAATAAATAAATGGTAAAAGTCTAATGGTTTCTGAACATTAACATGAAGTGTAAAGGTTACAGCTGTCTTAGCTTTATTGTTTTGGAAGTTTTATTATCAAATCTGCTGCTATTAATGATATGATATACATTTTGATCAAAAAATTTTAGATTTATATATGTTGGATGGCTGTTCGTTGTCAAGTGAAAGAGATAAAACTATACTAAAAATCGGTTTTCTGAACAAAAATATTGATGTATTACTGGATTCATATGTCAAAAATTTTGATATGGTTATAGTGAGCGATCAAACAATGGACATCTTGAGACATTTGAATCACGTTTTATTTGCTGTCAGTTAATCATTGTCATGTAATTAAGTCAGTTATCAACATATTTGGAAACGTAATATCAGATTGAAATTATCAGGTGATGGTATTAAAACAAACTTTTCAAGAAAAAAGTAAAGCTATTGGCTCTCTTCATCTCAAATACTCTGCAAAATTATTCAATTCCGCTTTGTTGGACACAACCACTCAGATTATTTAAGGATTAGTGACTTTAAAAAATTAAAATAGTAAAATATTAAGTACCGGACGGTTTCACAAATAATGTCTGCTAACGATAACAGTAAAATATTCCAGATCGAGGAGTATCCTACATATTTGATGGTCTTTTTTCAAGGATCAGTAGCCTTCTCAGTCTTTTCGTGATTGAGAAAGAACTTCATAGTTTGCGAAACATTCGCCAACAAAAAATAAATCATAATTCAGTGACATATCGTACGGTACATTCTGTCTCCAAAAAAAAAAAAACCCTGACTCCTGATTTCTTAGGCTTTTCCATTTCAGATCTCTCCAATCTCCTCTTTACCTCGTCCAAACAGGTTAGAAATGCACTTTTAACTTTTAAGACTGAAAATGTTAAGTTTTAGCGAGTCACATCTTAAATTTGAAGCGCTTTTTACAGCGAACCATTAAATTTAAAATTCACATAAAGATTTTTACTCTCAATCGTTAATTAGCTCAATTTTTACATTTTTTCTCTCATTTCCTACTCCTTGGTTCCGGATTACTTTTTTAATTCTCAGCTTTCTCTAGCATGAGTTCTACTCGAAAAAAAAACGTTACTATTTAAAAGTCTCCCAAAACGGTGATGGTTACTTATGAGCGTACGCTACGCATATTGAAATGGGAAGTTCATTTCAGAGACTACAGAAATACTAAAGATTAAAATTTAATTAGAACTTCGCAGTCTGTACAAGACTGAAAAATGTTTGATGCGCACAAAATTTTGATTCACACAAACATTCCTAAATCTGTGGCAATAGCTTTATTAATTGAATTTTTTATGATTCAAGTAAAAAATTGCTTTTCCCCTTTTCCTGGCAGAGAATTTCTTTGGTCGATGAATTTATGGAGGTATTTTTGTGTCCAAGAAGAAAATCTCTTAAATGATACAATGTTTTGAGGAATCTTAATTAAACAAATATTAATTGTTGTTAAAAGAACCGACGTGTGTCGACATTATTTTAGCGGAAATTTACATTTCTTTCGATTTTCAGATAAGAGAATCGTTTGTTAAATTAACTTTGTTATTGTATTTTCGATACTGATAAATGGAATCTCAAATAACGCGTGCAGGACAGGAAGGAAATCAACCGTCGACAATTTTAAGTCACGTCTAAATGTTTAGCTGAAGGAATGATATATTAAATCGGAATAACTGTTACTTTTTAAATTTCAAAATGGACAAGTTAACATTAGCATAGTGTATCGATTGAATAGCTCTGTTACATAATCCCGCTGAAATTGCCATCCGTTTATATCAAAAGTAAGAACAAAAAACATGCATATGACACACACACACGCACACACACACACACACACACGCACACACACAGACATTCACACTTCATTATGGTGCATTGGTGCTATCCATATTGTTCCCCATTGGTAATTTCTAATTTGCGGTGTGCTTTTTTTTTCATATAAAATTTTATATTTATCAAATTTCAACTTGGTGTAAGAAGAATTTTGATTCAAAACCTGCAAGTATTTATTTGCTTACTGCGAATTGAAATATACACTGTGTTTCTAAATAAATACCAAATTGATAGTTGCAGATTTTCTTTTATCTTCAGTGCTTATAAATTACTATCCAAATTCAAATTCTTATTGTTTTTCAAAGGTTTGTGCTACAAATAAAATGGATGATCATACAATGATTTGTGGTTTTTTGGTGTTGCTTTGAACTTTTCAAATATCCATTATAATAAACCAGTTGATAAAAGATTTATATAAGAACGTGATTTTCATCACACGACTTGTGTCACTTTTGTTGAGCTGCTTGAAAATTTCTTTCAGCGCATTATCAAACTCTCTTTCATTTCACTTTTTCATTTCCCCTTTCCCGTTTTCAAATGCAAAAGAGAATTTTGCATCGCTTACTTATACCGAAAGACTGACAATAGTGACCTTTTTCATGAATATGTCATCGCTCCAGTAGAAAGCCATCTGTTAGCAGGATGTCTCGACCCATCACCCATCACAATTGTATCCTCCGTTTCATTGCCGGTAAATCAATCAACCTCCTCAATTGTTAAATGTGTAAACGTCGGCTTATTTTGCATATTTGTTCCCGTCCCATATAATTTAAACGGACTGTCAGCAAATCAATGCTCTCTCTCTTTCTCTCTCTCTTTCTCTCTCTCTTTCTCTTTCTCTTTCTCTCTCTTTCTCTCTCTTTCTCTCTCTCTTTCTCTCTCTCTCTTTCTCTCTCTCTTTCTCTCTCTCTTTCTCTCTCT